ATGTTAACACTTACATGGGGCTATCGTTTTTAATGGAGAAAAAACGGATAATTTCTCTGTAACATGATAACAAATGTAAATTGTTTTAATATTTTTATTATTTTATTGTTTCCCTTCTACGTGACTTTACCGAAAGAACCAAGAATATGAATCCCTGCAGTCACGAAAGCTTTAAATCAACATTTATGATAACAAATGTCATGTTAATAGCTTCAAAAAGTCAAAGTCTCCATTTGTTCGCCATCGTTGTCAACGCGTGGCCTGGAATCTTCTCCAGGCGGTCCCCAGAGCCCGGAGGCAGCGGCACATTTCCCGTGGTGTTGTTGCAAATTCTCAGACGCGTTAAACATTATTTTTTTGAAGCACCCCGTGTATATGTAACGGCAGGGAATGAGTCAATGTAGCGCGTGCCGCTGGGAGATTTGTAGACAATAGAATTAGGGGTAGCAGCCCCCGCTTTACCGGTTGCACCTGGCGGGCAAGGCACGAAGCCCTCTGGGGGATCCAGAGGCGTGCGGGGCCGAGAGCGGAGCCTGGTCAAGCTGGGCAGGGTAAAAGGCGAGCTCCGACTGCTGCGATCTGGAGTGGAACTCGTCGTGCTGCCGTCGTCGTTGTGATCTTCGCCCTCTTCAAGCTGTGGGTCTGGCAGCATGTTGGCTGTCCCGACCCGGTGTGTGGTTATCCCCTAAGGGTGTAAAAAAAGAGAAAGAGAGAGTGTGTCTCCTACTAGTGTCTGTGAATTGGCACACTACGTGTATATAAATATATAGGCTATGCGCCGGGGAGTGTTATTGCTGTGATCCGCGAAATCCGCAGCACGCATCTCCACCGATGCCCCTAGGGACGTCGCTTCCAACGTTTGGATCGTGGGCTTTGTGTGTGTGTGTGTTTGCGTTCTTCCCGCTCGCCCGCTCGCTCGCTCCCACCGGCGTCTCGCGGATTATGGACCACGTGAATCGCACATCCACGGGACACCGCCAACGACGCAAGGGTTTAATAATTACACAATCATAACAACAACAGCAATGTTCTTCGACTTCAAAATGTCGAGTTTCCGTAGCCGATGTCATTCTTGTTTTGTTAGGTTAGGCCACGCAGTAGTAGTTTGATGATTACATTTTTTATTATGATGTTGAACTTCTTCCTCCTCGAACGTAGCCAACCGCGCTAATGCGAGGTGCGCGGTTGGCTATATATATAATAACCCTCCACCACCCGACAGGATTTTCACGTTGACATCGACGTGACCTTGAAGCGCGGAGTCAGCTGATGGGGCAGCCGCAGCAGAAGCGGCGGCGCTCGATTTCCGAGTTCACCGCCTGGTAAAGCTCGAGGCGGTTCGAGCGAAACGTCGGCGCGCGTTGGTGACGCTGAGGTCGGCCTGGACGAGTTTAAAGCCACCGCCCGCGAAGGAGGAGTTTGAGTATTGAGACGTGCATCGATACAACGCCTGTGTGAACGCGACTGCCCCGTCGGGTGGCGGAAGGGTTGGCGACGCGACATTTCTTTGGCGGAAACTACCAACGTGCCCTGGCCCGAACTCAAATACGAATCAACAGCATCCTGCATTCACCCAGGCAATGGCAGAGGCGCAGCCCTTGCAACGTCTCGCTACCGCCACTGCTGACCGAATGTCCTCCACGAGAGAGAGAGAACGCTCCAGAGAGCCTTTCTTCCACACCGGCCAGACGCGTGGGAAGAAGTGTGAATACTCACACTTTACTCCACCAAACGCGACCTGCCGATCGACTAACGGTGGTGTCTCCGTGTTCTGCATACTGCGGGGAGGGGGGGATTAAAAAAATAACTTGCGTCAAAGTTTCTATTTCCGTGACGGGAGATCGAACGGGACGGAAGCCAAGATCGTAAGTGCATTTCGCCAACTTTACACCAGGGACACATCTTAATATTAATAATGCCCTTTAGACGTTCGGGTCTCTTGTAGACCGGAGATGGAATGCGCGTCGTAGCCACAGCTAAGGTAAACAGGCGTGCTGGATGCAGTGTGCCGGATGCGGAAAACATCGTCCAAGCAGCTGGTAGACGAGAGGAGACACGTGGCTGGTAGTCACGGCCGTAGCGAGAGGGTATCCTATGGGGGTGGGGGGGGGGGGGTCTGAGAAAGCCCTTGGCCGAGCAGCGAGAGATCTTGCTCCGTGAGGATGTGCGGCTGTGACCGCTTGCAGAGGGTGGTGCTGCTGCAGAGTGCGACAAGAGAACACAGCGAGGAGACGGAATGAAGTGGTTTGCTCCCCCGCGGCAGAGGCTGCGATGGAATTCAAGACGAGGTGCCCCTTCTCGACATGCGCACCAAAGTTGGACGGCATCGTCGCCGTTTCGGCCGGCGCATGGGTCTGCGCGTCTCGTGTTTCTGCCCCCGCGTGCGAGGCCCCAACTCTCGGCTGCCTCGCCACAGAAAATAATTCAATTTGTTCGCTTTTGTTCGCCACTTGCGGCGCGTGTGCGCGGCAATTCCCCTCTCCTCCACCTCTCTTCCTCTACCCCCCTCCCTCCCTGTCTCCCTCCCTGTCTCTCTCCCTCTCTCTCCGCCTGGCCACCGTAGCTGTGAGCAATGGCCTTGTTAACGAATTCTACGGAGACGCGAGCGAGCACACGGCGCCGCCGTCGAGTGTGCAGGCGGTGCAACTGCACCGGGGGGAGGTGAAGGGGGGTCATTGCATCCCTTGCACCAGGGCCAGTGCACAATCATGCTACGCCACTGTTTTCGTATGGAACGTGAGTAGAGGGGGGGAGGGGGTAGGGGAGGCTCAACGTAGCTGTGAGGACACAATAAGAGGTCGCAGTACAGGAATGCATTCATGAGCCACTCAGCCACGCACACAAACTCACTCAAACACTCACTCACTCAGACACTCACTCAGCCCTCCAGACACGTACTCACTCAGCCACTCCCTCATTCAGCCACGTACACACTGACTCACTCAAACACTCACTCACTCAGCCACTCACTCACTCAGCCACGCAGACACTTACTCACTCAGACACTCACTCAGCCATCCAGACACTTACTCAGTCACTCACATACTCAGACACTCACTCACTCACTCAGACACTCACTTACTCAGCCACGCAGAAACTTACTCAGACACTCACTCACTCAGCCACTCACTCAGCCACCCAGACACTTACTCAGTCACTCACACACTCAGACACTCACTTACTCAGCCACGCAGAAACTTACTCACTCAGACACTCACTCACTCAGCCACTCACTCACTCAGCCTCCCAGAGACTTACTCAGTCACTCACACACTCAGGCACTCACTCACTCAGAACACTCACTCACTCAGCCACGCACACACTGACTCACTCAAACACTCACTCAGCCACTCACTCAGCCACTCACTCAGGCACTCACTCACTCAGCCACCCAGACACTCACTAACTCAGACACTCAGACACTCACTCAGCGACTCGGACACTCACTCAGACACTCACTCAGCCACTCAGATACTCACTCACTCAGCCACTCGGAGACTTACTCACTTGGCCACTCAAACACCCACTCACTCACGCACTCAGACACCTATTCACTCACGCACTCACCACACTATAGATCACAGCAGTTATCTGTCTGCATCTTCCCTCTCGCACTGCTCCACCATGGAATCCCCTCCTCCCATCGTCTCCATTTCCACGCTTACCTTGCTCAATTCAAGACGCGTGTTAACGCTCATCTATTGCCCGTGGACCTGTGCCGTGTTTTAACCACAGAGGATAATTAGCCCCTCGCCTAGCCAAGCCTCTACTCCACCCCACCCCCCACCACCACTTTTTCCAGCTAAAGAAAGATGGGGGTGGTGAGTTGATGCGGTTCATGGTTGTTCGCGCCTAGGCTGCGCAACGCTTCAATATAATCATCTGCAGGCGCTCCCTGCTCCCCCCCCCCCCCCCCCGTCGCTGCTACGGTGTGGGGGTGGGGGTTGTTTTTTAAATTCTGGTAAAGCCCGTGGAGAGTGCCACACTCGGAGAGAGAGACGGAGGGAGGGAGAGCGAGAGAGATTCTTGGAGATAGAGAGAGTGATGGAGAGAGCGTTAGACTATCGGATAGAAACGGCGAGAGAGCGACACTCGGAGAGAGCGAGAGAGACTCTTGGAGAGAGAGTGACGGAGAGAGAGTGACGGAGAGAGAGAGAGAGAGACTCTCGGAGACAGACGGCGAGAGAGCGACACTCGGAGAGAGCGAGAGAGACTCTTGGAGAGAGAGTGACGGAGAGAGAGCGTGAGGGAGAGCGTGAGAGAGACGCTCTGAGAGAGAGAGTCACTGAGAGAGAGAGACTCTCGGAGAGAGACGGCGAGAGAGACTCGGAGAGAGATACGTAAAGAGAGCGACACTCGGAGAAAGAGAGACAGAGAGAGGGAGGGAGGAAGGTGCTCTACTCCTGCATGGTCCGGTTTCACCAACAGCACACCCTGAGGAGCCACAAGGACCATGCCTGGAGGAAAGCCCTAGCCCTGCGTCTCTCCGGAGAGGCCTCGCTGGAGGCAACTCTACTCCAGCCCGACGTACAACCGCATCGGCGACCTCAGCTGGAGCATCTCCCACGGCACCGTCACCACCAACGCCTCCTTGGCGCGCTTCACCGACACCTCCCCGGAGTGTGGTAAAGTGGAGACGGTGGCGCACCAATACGTGGAGTGCAAGCGCCTGGACTCGCTTTTCAAGGTCCTGAGAAACATCCTCCTAAGGTTCAGCCTCCACTTCTCCCCGACGGTCCTCATCTTTGGGCACCCGAAGGGCGACGGACCCCAACATCTTCAGGGGCTGGTCAACGTGCTTGTCGGCTACACCAATCTCGCCATACGCAGGGCCACCTCCCGCGCTCTGGTCGGAGCCAGGGTGTTGCCGGAGTTCCGCCATGCGCGGCTGACCCACGCCGTGCCGGCCTTCAAGGAGCAGTGGGCGCTGGAGGAGGCCGTGTGCTCGGTGGCAGAAGACGGAGAACTCTGCATGAGCTACCCGTCGGAGGCCGTTTGACTGCGAGAAGAGCTGGGTGCAGATGCAGCACTTGTCGTAGTTTGAAAAATATGTACATAGAAAACAGGGGGAACAAAGAGAGAGAGTAGGGGATGGGGGGGGGTAGAGAGAGAGAGGGGGGGTAGAGAGAGAGGGGTAGAGAGGGGTTGGGTAGAGAGAGGGGGTAAAGAGAGAGAGGGGTAGAGAGAGAGGGGGTAGAGAGATAGGGAATAGGTAAGGAGTAGGAGCAGAGCGTGCTTCTTCATGTTGATCTTTGTGTCTACGAAGAAAGTAGCACAGATTGATTTTGTTGCACAATGGTAAAACACGTAAAATCTTTCATTTAAAAAGGGGGGAGGGGAGCGCATAAAGCAAAGCAATGGGGGAAAACGAAATGATGAACGGAGCAAGTGCCGACTAAACCGAGCATCTTCTTGCTTCCTCTGATAGTAAAAAAATAAGAAAAGAGAGGGAGGGAGAGAGAGAGGGAGGGAGAGAGACAAGGATACCGTCGGTGAGAGAGGGAGAGCGACTCTCGCGAGACATGCGGCGAGTGCGAAGTGGATCGTGACTGCACATGCACCGTGAATTATAATTCAATGAGATGCGTTGCCAGGGCCTGGTCAGGCAGCGTTCTCTGTGCCCAGATTGGCTGCGTTATAACAATGAATAGAATTACTGTCAACATTATGTTTGCACTCGTTTAACCAGGAGAGCCTCACGAATCTTTCTTTGTTCCCCAAGAGTGTCCTGCCCCACGCTTTCGAAGTCGTGGACGGGCCCGCTATTGATGTTGCTGTTGTGTGTTGATTTCAATTGAGCAATTTGCACGGAATGTTGCAACATTGGGATGTTGTTTTAGGTCCAAATTATTGGCATTGTGTGTGTGTGCGTTTGTTAGCTATGGGAGGGAACCCATGCAGAAACCAGGGGGAGAGCGTTCAAACACCACACTGAAAGGCACCCGAGTCGGGAATCGAACCCACGCACTTCTTGCCGCGAGAGGCACAAGTTTCACGACTGCGCCACGCTGCATCCCCTGATTGCGTCCCTATCATGCGCGAGACGTGGCAAGTGTGAAAGTTAAAACTCCCAACTCACGCGAGCCCGACCTGGGAATCCGCGATTGCACGCCGGTCTAACTCACACGTGGTGGTGACTACTGCCTCCATCGTTTCATGCTCAACAATCATCATTGCACGTGTGCACGTGCGCACGGGGCACGCATCCACACGTGCACACGTGTGCATACGTGCGCACGGTACACACATGCCCACGTGCGCACTTGTGCACGTGGGCATGCGGAAGTGTACAGTCAGGCGGCCGCGATGTATGGTGAGCACGCTGGACTTGCAATCCCCCCCACCCTCTCCCCACCTCCGCCCATTAGTAAGCATTCTAAGTGGTTACACCACACTCGATAGGCAGGTTGGGTATGGTGGGGTAAACCACGAGGACGTTGAACGTGAACCACTCCTCTAGTACCTAGCGTCGAAGATAAGCTTTACAAAAACGACTCGCTAAGAGCCCTATGGATCTCGTCTCAGCCGGAGAGCCTTCGCCCAGCGGGCAAATTGCAAGGCTGCGCCTTTACCCTAGTTTGTTTGCAGCCCGCGTGATGAGTGTAGCCCCATTTACGGGAGAAAGGATTGGAATTGCTTTAACGCGTGCTCGGTCTCCGTCTGCGCAAGGCTGCACTGAGGATCGCCTGCTCTCGGTCTTCTGTGATTAAATCATCCATCGCTTCCTCGGCTTCCCTCGAGGTCCACCCCACCCACACCCCTCCCCCCTCCCTAGCCTCGCCGTCTCATTTCCTCGTCCGCGCGCAGCGACTTCACATGTAATGAAAAAGTAATATTTTTAAAAACCTTTTTTTTAAAACGCGCTTTTATGAAATCTACGAGTAATGGCAGAACTCCACGACTCCAGGAAGTGGCCCCAAAGTTTGCCATAACTTAAGGGGACCGTGGGCAATTACAACCAACGTTAGGTGAGCGTGGACAATTTGACCCAAGCCGAAACATAACATATAAAAAAAATAATGTTTAAAAAGATTTGTTTTTTTTATAGTATTGTCATCAGTATGACATAAGTATACCAAGTTTGCAGTCGATACCACATTGGGAAGTGGGTTAAAATTGAGCTACAAGATTTGAGGATACAACAACAACAACGACAACAACAACAGACAGAGTGAGTTAAATGAAAGCGTGTAAAATATGTAATGGTATTAATTACATATGTAATTCATATGTAATTCATATGTAATATGTAATTCATATGTAATTAATAATGACCCGCGATTGTATTTTATCCATTGTCTCGTTCATGCACATCGCACAGAGGCGCCGGGGAAGGAAAGCGGGCAGTTACGCCGGCGCTGCCGACGATTTCCCAAGCTCTGCGGTCCTACATTGGGATACTTGGCCATCCCCACGAATATATTGTTGTTATTATTATTGTTGTTTTTATCATTTTCAGGAAGCAGACTGTTTCGGATATTTGGTATTTATCAATATTAGTCGCGGTCAATGCTTATCCAGCTGCCTGCAAGTATTCTAGTTACATTACACGTGTTTATGCGTGGTGTTGGCCACCCCCTCGTGTGCCGCGTCGGCCTTCATAGGTGCACCCTAACAGCACTTGCCCCAACAGTCTGCTACAGGCTATACGGGGGATATTTGTCTTTGTGGGTACTGCAGGGTGGTCGTCGAGAGATGATCTCACGGAGTGTGGCGTCACGCCGACTGATGGAAGCTCCCCCAGGGATCGCGGCCACGGGGTCCGTGCAGCGCGGCACCTCCATGCGCAATGGGAGCTCAGACGTGCGTCCTGAGTTACGTGAAAATAAATCGCGCAGCGTTCGTGAGTGACACGCCACCCCACGTGATGATTGGTGACACACCATCCCACGTGTTCGTCACAGTAACACAACGTCGCACGTGTTGATGGGTGACACACCATCCCACGTGTTCGCCACAGTAACACAACGTCGCACGTGTTGATGGGTGACACACCATCCCACGTGTTCGCCACAGTAACACAACGTCGCACGTGTTGATGGGTGACACACCATCCCACGTGTTCGCCACAGTAACACAACGTCGCACGTGTTGATCGGTGACACACCATCCCACGTGTTCGTCACAGTAACACAACGTCGCACGTGTTGATGGGTGACACACCATCCCACGTGTTCGTCACAATAACACAACGTCGCACGTGTTGATCGGTGACACACCATCCCACTTTGCACACCTATCGGTTTTGGTATTGTCGTCGTAACTTTGTATGCCCATCCCAACTGGACAACTGTGAAACAAGCTTCATAGATCATCGGATTCCTCCAGTCTGAATAAAGTTTCTGATTTATGTATTGATCAGTGACACACCACCCCACGTGTTGATCAGTGACACCATTCCACGTCTTCGTAAATGACACGTCACAAGTGTTGATAAGTGACACACCATCCCACGTGTTCATCAGTGACACACCATGCAATGTGTTGCTCAGTGACACCAACCCACGTGTTCTTAAGTAACACAACGTTACATGTGTTGATCGGTGACTCACCATGCCACGTGTTCATCGATCTGCAGACGTGACACTCTTATGTGGTTGAGGGTTAATGACAAAGACCTTGGCTTAAACCTACCGCGTGACTTAACCCCTCCAAAAACAAATATAGATCAATCTATCGGCTACGAAACCTCCGCTTAAAGTGAACTAACCAACACTAACCAACAACAACCAACACTAACCAACACTAATCAACCAGTGGGCTCGATGGGTTAGGGCAATGTACACCACTTCTATTTGATTGGCTATCGCGCTCTGATTTGAATGTGTTTAATGTCCTATGAAGAAAGGGCCATTGCCGAAAACGTCGTCTATTACATGCACACGAGATGTTTTTGCTTGTAAGGCTACGCAGTCTTTTTGACGAATGTGTTGATTTTGTTTTGTTTGTTTGCTATGAAGCTGTTCTCCGTGCACCTCCCCCATAGCAGCGCTCTCGCCCATCGCGGCTTCTCGCGCTCATCCCGGGACCCGTGCAGACGTCACGCCGAGCTCCTTTGTTCATCCCGTGCCGGAGTCGTGCATCATCGCGCGTGCGGCACCAGACGAGCCCAAGGGGGGAGTGGGGGGGGCGGCGGCGGCGTGGGGAGGTGAGGGGAGGCGAGCGACAGAGTGGGGCGGTCGCCGTTCATTCACGCCCGTGGAATTCTAATGCGTCCACGGTCCGCGTTGCCACGAATAAGAAAGAGCCACCCATTGTTCCAACAATAATACACGGGACTATAAATAGACAGGTGTGGGAGCGAGCGAGAGAGCGAGGGAGTCAAAGGGAGAGAGAGAGAGAGAGACGACGACGAGAGAGGGCGAGAGAGGTTTGCGAGGCGTATGTGTGCAAATGGGGAGCGGTGGCGCTGCAGTCAGCGCACTGGCACGGCCGTGTTCGCCTCGCGGCCACGGCTTGCAAACAGTGGCGAGCGGTATCTGGACCTGCTCTGAAGCTGCGCCTAAGTTGACTCAGACTTAAATCGCCGCCTGGTGAGGTGTGTAATAACAGCAGCGTTGGGGGGGGGGGGGGGGTGTGACAAAAGCGGCCCGGGGGTTATGATGGCCACCTGCACCCCAACTTAGTGCGCCGCGCCGCCTGCCTAAAATTAGGCGCTCGCTAAGGACACTTTCCCCGGCTGTCTGTTTAAAAAAAATAAAGTCTTGTCAGAGCATCGTTGCCTTTCTTCGTGAGTGCCGCGCGGGGAGGCGAACAAGCGACGTCCGCAAAATACCGAATTACCCACGGCGCTTTCCCCAGCGGCGGCTCTTAATTTGAGATGCCGGTGCCGCGCCGAGGAGGATTTTTGTTTTTGACTGTCGGCGATTGGATCGGCGGAGTCGAGGCTGACGACCGCTTGCTGCTTCAACTCCGCCGGCATTTCGGATGCGCCGCTGCTCGTCGCACTCGCAAAAGACCAAGAGATGGCGGGAGGACTGAGCACGGAGGGTGGGAGCGTGACGAGGAAGCGGCAGAGGGCCGACGGACGGTGGGAGCCAGGGTGAAAGGCTGTGGCGAGATGGCCGATTAGAGTTGAGCGGATTGGAGAGTGGAAGGCGGAGAGCTGAAGGAGGGGAGGGGGGGGAGAGATGAAGGATCGTGGAGTGGAGAGTGGAGGATTGTAAATAGTGGATACGAGTGTGGGTGGTGGGGGGTGTGTGTGCTGGATGGAGGGTTGAGGATAGTGTGGGTGCCCCATGGAGAGTGGATCTACGAGTGGAGCGTGGAGCGTGGAGGATGGAGGGAGGAGGAGGCTCGAGTGATTTGCGCGAGCGGTGAGCCGTGTCGGGACCCCTCCCGGCCACTCGGCCCCCTCATCAGCGCGGCGCTTCCCGGAGCGGACGGTGCCACCTCCACGCGCGCATTCAACATCCCTGGGACAGGCGCGGAATGACAGCGCGGTCACGTCCCGTCTCCTTCAATTTGAAGCCCTCCACGCGTTTCCCTGTGCCATGCGCTCTTCCCCTCCATCCCTCCCCTATACCCTCCCTGCCAACCTCCCCCCATCTCCCTCTGTCCCTCTCTCCTTTTCTACACCCCCCCCCCCCTCATTCCCTCTCTTCCTTTCTCATCCCATTAATATCTCCCTCCGTCCACCTACTCTGCCTAAGTTAATATAATTTATTCTTATAATTACGTAATTATACCCTCCCTTCTTGCACCCACCGTAGCTTCCTCCCTCCATGTCACTCTCGATCCCTCTCCCTTCATCCCCGCTCCTTTCTCCTGTCCTAGCTTTCCCCCATCTCCTCCCTCTCTGCACGCGAGGTGAGAACAGATGATCGAGCAATCGCCACGCTGCGGTCTCTGGGAGGGAGAGCGGATTACATGAGACTAAATATTGGATCCGAAGCCGTTTGATGGCATCCTGAGAGAGGAGTGGGGGGGCGCGGGGGGGGGGGATGAGGTCGCGGTGCCTTCGGGGTTCCGCCCGTACCCAGGGTCCCCTCGCTGGGTCGCCACCCCCCGTAGACTGCTCGCATCTAATGGGTCCATTACGCGCGCCTCCTAACGAGGTGGCCTGACACACACGGGACTCCGTCACCGCTTTGCGTGCGAACGAGGGCGATGAGCGGTAGCGGCACGCGCGTACGAGCGATCGTAAGGCACACGGGGACACGCGAACGCCAGTACATTGACGTAAATAAACAAGGCAGCAAACATGTGGATGCACACGCGCGTCTGCAACCAAATATAAAGACAAAGTTCCCACTATAGCCTGTTTAGGCTGCTGGGGCAAGAGCCCCTGAGCAAGTGGCACCACAAGGCAGGGACGACGCACGCGGGGGAAATGCGTCCAGCTAGACACCCTCGCCACCCTGGTGCGGTGTGTAAATAGTATCCCCAGGGCGAATATTTACGCACCACTTTAAGCACTCGTTTAAGGCTGAATCGACCTAGGGGAGCGCCTGAACCGGTTCAAATATTCGCCACTGATGTTGGCCGTGAACGGGAATCGAACTCAGGTTGCTGGGTTCGTAGCGCAAGGTGCTAACCTCCACGCAACCACACCCGCACTACACACGCGTGCATGCCCTAACCCCGAACTTTAAATCTAGTCCAACCCCTAACGGTAGCCCCAAGTCCCTTATCTTAACTCTAGAGCAAACAGTGACGCTTACAACTAAACCTGAATCGAACCCTAACAATGACCCCATGCCCATACCGGACATCTGCGAAAAAGAGCTTCATAGCTCATGGGATTCCTCCGGCAGTCTAAATACAGATTCTGATCTGAATCTGAACCTGCGCCGAACCCTGCCTCGAACCTGAGCTCACGCACACCCTCACCGTAACCATGCCCCTTTGTATCTAATTGCCATCTAGTCCTGACCCAAATCTTGACTTTATAAATCCACGACTCTCACTTCGACCCTGAGTCTGGACTCCTTAACCGTGACCTCCCTGACCCCCGCCGCCGTGACAGCCGGTCACAGTCTCCCTCTATGCGTCGACGAGACAGTCAACGGACCCCGCTGTTGCGCCAGGCCCGTCACGTCCACACGACGGCGGCCGCGGAACAGGCTCGGGCCTGCTTTGTGAAGTCGCGTTGCGGTGTTTTTACGAGGCACGGACGGATGACGCGGGGCGCCACGGCGTCTCGCGTCGTCAAGCGTCAACGCGCTTTGCGATGCTGCGTTGACGGGGCCGGGTACGGCCGGTGCACGAGGAAAACAAATGATTATGTGTACAGGGACTCCTCTACTTACGAACGAATTAGCTTCCAGAAGTCTGTTCGTAAGTCGATTCGTTCGTAAGTCCAACTTGACTCCTGTCGATTCTAAACATGTTGAACGGCATGTACGCTAAACACGGTGAATGGATTTAAATGGTGTATAATCTCCTGTAGATGTAGATGCCACTGGTTCTTCACGTTCTGCAGATGTAGATGCCACTGGTTCTTCGCGTTCTGCAGATGTAGATGTTACTGGTTCTTCACGTTCTACAGATGTAGATACCACTGCTTCTTCACGTTCTGCAGATGTAGATGCCACTGGTTCTTCACGATCTGCAGATGTAGATGCCACTGGTTCTTCACGTTCTGCAGATGTAGATGCCACTGCTTCTTCACGTTCTGCAGATGTAGATGCCACTGGTTCTTCGCGTTCTGCAGATGTAGATGCCACTGGTTCTTCACGTTCTACAGATGTAGATATCACTGCTTCTTCACGTTCTGCAGATGTAGATGCCACTGGTTCTTTGCGTTCTGCAGATGTAGATGCTACTGGTTCTTCTTGTTCTGCAGATGTAGATGCCACCACCGCCATTTATTGCGCGGCGGTTGAAATTACAACTCTCGGTCCAAACGGGCAACTGGACATACGGACAGGTGTGTTCGTATCTCTGAAAGTTCGTAAGTCGACTGTTCGTAAGTCGAGGAGTTACTGTATAATAATAGCCAACGTTTCGGGCAATGCATCCTTCTCCAGAGCAAGCGATCCTTCGAACTGGAATGATTCATCTGAAGAAGTCGACGCACCCGTCAACAGCACGAGCTTATACAATAAATATATATTTATGATTGCCGACGTTTCTGGCAATGGCCCTTCTTCACCTCCGATTGACGCGGTTGGCTACGTGCGGTGCAAAAGAAGTTCAACATATAGACATAGAACGTGAAGGTCCGATGCTAGAAAGGTCGCCTATTATACACTTATTTTTCAAACTCACAGCGTTGTTGATAGTTGTTGTTGTTGTTCATTTATGCTTGTGCACCACTTCCAACGCAGCAGCACCACCAAATAACTTTTATTTTTCTGAACAGGGGCCATTGCCAGAAACGTCGCCTAACATGTTATATATTGAGGCTGAACATGTTAAAATAACGCGCACGACCCGCACGGAGTGGAAGATCATCACCATCATCATCATCCAGCAGTGGATTGCCAGAAGAGCTATCCCCCGTGCGCGCGCCGTTGAGAGCCTTCTGTGCGCTATACAATATCCGGGACAAAACCGCACGGCTGAACGAGACCATCCGTGCATCAGCCAAATAAACTCAAACACTCGACAACGGCATCACAATCAGCTGTTGTCCTTCCCCCGCGCAGCCTCCGATGAGCAACGTTTTGGCCACGTGCGGCGCGAAAGAAGCTCGCGGTGCTGCGACCGCACGGGCACACGAGGCGCGGTGCGGTCCCGGCTGCTGCCGGGAGTCGCCGACGTCGTCCGCCGAGCGCGCGCCGGAGTCGCACCGAGGCGTCGGGAAGGCCTCCGGTCACCGCGGCGCTCCGCGGAGTTGCGGAGAAAGCCACCGGGGCTGGTGGAAGACGAGCCCAGGTAATGAATGCGATGATGATGATGGTGGTGGTGGTGATGATGGTGTCAGCATTGGGGGGAGGGGTGATCGGGGGTTGGGGGCGGGGGACGGGAAAGGGGGGCCCAAAAACGTTCGCCACCCCCCACCCACTATATTTGAGCCAGAACCCTCCCAGCGCCTCCCCCCCCCGTATCCCCCCCCCCACCCCCGCACATCCCCCCCCCGCCCATCCACCCAATAAAACTCATTTCGTTGCGCTGGCAACAGCTGCTACAATTGTAAAACGCACAAGCATCGAATCCCGTAAATGTACGCTTCAGTTGTACGTGATGCAATTGTCCTCGTGGCTTGCGGTAGAATTGTCATGTTATTTATATATTTATATTGCTCCATATGCGGTGGACGCGGTGGCGTCGCAGTTAAAGCCCTGCGCTATGAATGCGTCGAACCGAGTTTGAGGGAGGGAGGAAGGGAGGAGGGAGGGAGGGGAGGGAGGGAGGGGGAAGGGGGAGGGAGGAGGGAGGGAGCCGGATCTCATTGAGGCACCACGGTGGCGAGATGTTAACCACCTTGCCTGATATAAAGGAGGTCGTGGGATGGATCCCAACCCTGACGCCTACAGTATATTTGAAGTGCGCGTCCCTCTCTCTCCGTGGTCGCGTGGATTTTTATCCGGGTCCCTCTCCATTTAGAATCAACGTGCGTTTGGAGCATTTGCCCGCTATGAATTTCCACGCGATAAGCCACTTCGTATTTGGAGGGGGTCAGCGGGGGGCGTGATCTCGTGGGGGGTGGGGGGCTGACGGCTCTGCTGCGCTCTTTACAAAGCCCCCGGCTACCGCGCCCTCCTCGTAGCCCACACGGAGCCTCGCCGCGCGATATTGAGACGCGTTCTCGCCCCACAGCGCCCGGGCGG